TTCTTAACGTAGGTAGGACGTCTTTCCGTTACTGTCGTTCCTTTCCTTACTGTAAGTTTAGTTTGGTTTGGTCGATAGCGTAGTAGAGTGAGAGAGAGAGAGAGAGAGAGAGAGAGAGGGAGGGAGGGAGTTTTCGATGTGTCGCATTCTAAGGGAAAGCAACCATCGGTATTTATATGTTAGAGAATCTGTAGCAGTGTTATGTTATACTGTTAGAAAGCAGTTTGAAATAGGTTTATTGAGCAGAAGCTTTGGATGCTTGAAGCTATTGTAGCAATCTAATTGCAGGAATTTCTTGTATGAGGTGTAGTGAAATTGCCGTGAATTTTGTGTACTTTCTTGAACTGAAATGAATTATCTGGTGGAATACCATCCATCAATTTTGGTCTTCCAAATCCCAGTTTTGGGTATAATTTCCACAGTTCATCAATTCATAATTGGTCTGTCTTTCTTTAATTTTGTGGAATTTTCCTTTTGATTTTTGTTTTAATTCTACTTTATTTTTTATTATGTCCATATTCCTCTAACCTGCATTCCTTGCTTGGCAGTCAGGAACAAAGTTTGACCTCACCTTCTAAATAAGGCATTTAACCAAAGAATTTGGAGCTTCATGACACCATCCTTTGAATGACTGGTCGACATTCTGTACTACATGATTGCTGATCTTGAGCTTCATTAGCTATCATATAACCATACAGGCTGTCCAATCCATTTGTCAATAAGGAAGCTCTCTCTCCCATTATTTGTTTAATCTCTCTTCAAGTTCCTCTCCATCCTCGCAGGGCACCAGCTCGGTCTCAGTGTCATCCTTTGCCTGATACCCCTCCATGTCTTTTTACAGGTAATAATGCCATGATATTCGTTTATATCATCATTTTAACTCTCTCTCTCTCTCTCTCTGTCACACACACACACACACACACACACACACATGCACACACCAGATTGTTCTACTCAAATTTTTATCGTAAAATTTTGTTATCGTGGATTAGTCGAGCTCCATTTATGTTATAGTATGTTATGGTGGGGAAACCCTGCCCAGTCAAGTGGCACTCCATATCTATTAATGCCCTCTCATGCGCACATCTATACGCACATGTATGCATGTAATATCTTTTTTTGGGTGGGTAAAATATGTAAGTTCTTCTCTTTTCTTCTTATGGATGAATATGTATATAAGATATAAATACCCTACGTGCCATATCTTAGTGATTAATTTTGTTTTCTTTTTTGGGGTGGGGGGCTGGGGTGGGGGGAGGAGAGAGTAGTTCCCCGTCTTTGCAATTATCTGATTATCATATTTCATTTTTATGGATTACAGTTGTAAGGAATGTGGGGCAAGTGTAAACCTCAACAGCAACAACCTCTTCCCTCCAGATGCTTACTTTGAAGCAGGCAACAAGGGAACTCTTTCCTTCTCTTCAATAGACACATCCAAGTTTAAGCTTGAGCAAGAGGACAAGATCATGCCTTTCTTTGAGACTCTGAATTATTGGGGCATTCAAAGGAAGCGCACCAAGATCAAGTGTTTGGCTTGTGGAAAATTGGTCGGCCATATTTACGACGATGGTCCTCCGCTCACAAACAGCACAGGTCAGTTTGGCATGGGCCCCAGCCAAGTTATCCCTAGGCTGCCTAGGTATAGGTTCAAAACCAAAGCTCTTAAATTGGAGTCGCACATCTAAGGGAAGAGAAGTTGCCTTTCACACATGACTTGCTAATTTTTGATCATTTGGAAGACTTTATGTATGTTCTTGTTGATTGGGACAGGGTTCCGTTCTATACTATGACATTGGATTTTTGGTTTAAAACTTGTGTATAGTAGCTTGTGTTGTGTAATGTTTATACCTCTGTATAAATGTGATGTAAGGGGCATGGAACTTTTGATGTAATTTTGAATTTTATTTGATCCTGAGAATGTTAGATCCTACTCTTCCAATGGTTCGATTATATGGTGACTTGATAGTTTACCAGCAAGTAGCCCGTATGTATGAAAATATAGAGAGATGGAGAGTGCGAGGGGTTTACTAAGTTTTTAGGGTTTCTTTTCACGTAGCGAAATGGTAATACATGGGATGTTTGGATATGAAGTGTAAAATGAACATTTTTTTTTAAAAAAAGAATGCATGTGGAAAGCTTGGGTCCAATACCCATTCCACATAGCCTGACTAGTCATTTATTGTGTTGGATTGGGCTTAAAAATTTGGGAGACTCGGACGGTTTTGAGGTTTTTCATCTTCGAATCACCAAACTCCTGATCTAGTCCGAGTTGGAATTCTAGATTGGATAGGCAATTTTTGAAACTTTGCTCTAAATGGTTCCTGTTGACTCCGGTTTTAAAATTGGGTTGTGTCATGGTACTCACATGAGCATTTTTTTAAGGTATTTAATGGACACTTGAAACTCTTATCAATAAGGGGTAAAGTAGAAATTCTTGATAGAAAGAAAATTATTTAATAATTATGATGGAGAATGAAATAATCCCTATAAGTTGTGACATCATATATATGGAGTAATGATTATTTTTTAATCATAAGTAAAATGTTACTAGTTTTTTATAAAAATATTTATCTTATCATTCTTAATGACAAAATATCTTTATTAAAAAAAATTCTATTACAAAACAAGGTGCAATGAGTATAAAACTATATTAAATACATTAAGGAAATACTCATATGTATAACAACCCTAATATAACCCTTTAAAATTTGATATTTGAATCTCATGCTTGATTTTTCTAGTGATAAAGATTGATTACTGACGTTCAAAAATTCCAAAAATATGCTACTTAGGTTTTGTTTGGGACTTTGAAAATTATTTCCTAATATTCTTCCTTCGAATCTCCAATACTTTCCAATGATTGATGATCAAATTGATGAAAAACCATGCCATCATCTCCTTTTTTTACTTTATTTTTGGGAAAAGTCTTCCAACAAAATAAGTAAAACTGATTTTCTACGGATGAATCTTCTTCACTCCCAAGCATCTATTCTCTTGCAAACCCAACGGGCTCTCTCCTACTAGCCTTCAAAATTTTCAAAGAAGCCAAAAGATATTCAGAGTATACTGTCTATTTACTCCCTCAAGTAAACCCCATTGAGGATTAGTTTTAGGACTCCAAATTTTGGGGGTATAACTTCTTTAACAATAGATTAACCTCAATAGAAATACTTTCTAACAACACCCTCTAAGCACGTGAAAAAATTAATGTCTCAAAATTGAATAAAAACCGTCCAATTTTTAAAGGGTGAGATCTAATTGTTAGAAAACTCAAATTGTTATTATTATTTTTATGATAATCATCTAATGATTCTAAGGTGGTTAAAAAAATTTCAAATTGAAAAAAAAATCCACCCATGTGGGTCATCTAATTGAGGGAATATAAGAAAACTATGCTCTTGAGGGAACATAGTATACATACTCTTAAAAAAAATCATTACCCGTGATCTAAAAGGGCCCTTAGTTGCTATGACTAAATTTGACATATCAAACAATGAGTATTATAATTTGAAAAAATAAGGGAAAATAGTGCTCCTTGAATTAACATTCAAAATCCTCCTACATAGGGAACTAACCACCTCAAAAATCCAATTATGAGGTAGCTGAAGGATTTAAATCTCCAACTCATCTTGAATTATGATCCTTCAATTAAGATTTGATTCTGGGCACTAAAAACTTCAACACCCTTAGATTCAGCATTTTTAAACTCGAATTTGGGCCTAGAACAAATGGGCCAAAGTTTGAATCAACAATTCAGACTCGACTAAGTCTTTAAGAAATAACAAAGAAATTTTCAGAACCGGTTAGACTTGGCTAGTTCTTGAGACTTTTCTTTTTCTTGATGGAAGTTACTTCATCATCATCATCGCCCAAGTCTTATCTCAATTATTTGGGATCGGCTACAAGAATAATGTTCATCTATTCTTTTCTATTACGTAAGTTCAGAATTCATGATAAGATATGACAAAGTTTTACGCTGATTGCGTACCTAACGCAACCCATCTCCTTAACCCATGCTTAGGACGGTTAATGAGAAATTTAAAGTTCTCACCCGTAATAAGTGAAATTACTTCAATTTATTATTAATAAAAGAGGAACACATCTCGTAAAAAGCAAACATAAAAGAAAATCAAGATTCAAAAGAAATACACAAGAATCTCATCCCCAAAACAACCCTTGATTAGCCAGCTCATGAGCACCTCCATTTGCTTCTATATAAACATGTTCCATACATCTTGATGTACTATTTTAAAGATTTAAAATCTTTCGTTTCTCCGTATCCATACATCTTGATGTTGAGATGATTAATTAGATATTTTTCCAACATTAAAACAACAACTTTTTACAAAAGATTTTTGAGGTGTACCTTAATTCTACATTTTACAATGTCAAACTTATACAAATTTTTTTATTTCTATAAATGCTACTAAGATTTTGGAAGTAGGTGGAGTTGCAAAGGTGCAAGGGACAAGATTCCATAGGCCATCTAGTTTATCTTCATGACTGGCACTTGATTTTTTATATGTGTGATATGTTAATGGTGGGTAGAATGTTATGTTGAGGATAACATGTACTTTGATGAATCTCTCTTTGGACTCTGAAATTCTATTTATCATTGTATTTAAATCTACTGATTAGGCCCGTTTGGCTCTTTAGAAAGAACTTTTTGGAAGTTTTAAGAATTTTTTATACCAAAATTGTATTGCATGACAAAGTTTTGTAGGTGCACCTTCCTATCATTGTTTAATAATGCAACTTTATTCTATAGGTACATATTTTTGAACCCTAGAGAATTGAAATTTAGGTTATTTTTAGTTTTAGAGCTTCTAAAAGGTTGCATAAAGAAATAATACAACTAAGCATCAAGAGCTCCAAAGAAGAGCATTAAAACTTCAAAGTTATCCTGGGAATTTTATTTTATTCACTGTAATGAGAAAGCGTAGTTGTGGGAACTATGGGTGTAACACCACGGTCCCACCTTAGGACCTTGATCTTGCGGTTCCTTTAAGAGATCTTAGAGAGCTGAGTTTAGAGAAATAGGGATCTCATTCCCTACAAAATGGATCTCGGTCTATATGTTTGTAGGATCATTCTAGAGAGAGGAGCTATACTATGCATCAAACTACTACTTCTTTGTGTGGTATTATAGATTTCATCATAGTTTACTAGAATTATAGTATTAAAATATTTCAATTTAATATCATAATAAGCCAATTTATAGGGGCTGTCACTTGGAGTGACGGTAAAAGCTCGAGTAACCAGCATAAGAGTGCGGGTTCGAGCTTTTAGAGCAGCCACTTTGTGCATAAGCCAAAGGTTATGACCGTTTCTAGTCCACCCCTCCTGGGACCTTGCTTTGGCGGAAGCTAAGGCGTGGGATAATGGATTGAGCGGGCATTGGCTTGATCCTAATTATATCATATAGCATTAATTGATTTTGTTTTATGTATAGTGCAACTTAGATCCCTCCAAATCAAAACTTCGATCCCAGTAGCTTAAGATCTTGCTCTTAGGTATCCTAATATCTATCTCTTTAACTTATTGAATGTACGGAAGACAATCCTAACCCAAGGAGCTTCTACCCTATAACTGTTTGGCCTTCTCCCAACCCCAAGGAGCTTCTACCTTATAACGGTTCGGCCTTCCCCTAACCAATCCTGCTCTGAAACCGGCTTCCACCTCGAACAACAGTGAGGTTGTATAGAACAACATAATTGAGTCAACTGCGATGAGAAATCGTGGTAGAGAAGCTCTTGTTGAGTTAATGCAATAAGATATCAATTAACCGCAATGTGAATTCCTGGTAGAGGAAAACTTCAAAACTAGGCTAAAACGATCTCCAAATCTGAACAAACACGAACCGACACACGTGCTCAATCTTGACCTAAAGGCACAAGAAGCTCTTGTCGAGGTATGCAATAGGCTCTTGTTCTTTTTGAAGTATTCTAACATCTCCCACTTCACTTTTCACATTAGGAAAATGATGCATTTGTTGGTGTTACACTTTTGAAAGCCTGTTTGTACTGAAAATATTGCCAATAGAGGGTTCAAATTCAAAATAATTGTGGTGAACCATGCCCTCAATAGAGTTGGCAATAGGCCGGTTAGTCCGGGCCTTTGCCCAACCCTAGTCCATGCATGACTGGCCCAGCTCAGGCCTGATCAAAGAGGCTCCAGCCTTGGCTTTGTCCGGGCCGAGCGGGGCCTTTATAGATGAAAAGTGAGGGCAAAAAAAAAAAGAAAAAAAAGAAAATTGGGCTCGGCCAGATTGTCGACGCCTTGGCCAAGGCCCAAGGTGATCTGGCCTCGGCCAATGTGGGTTGACCCTGAAGCCGCGTTTTGTAGCATCGATGTGTATGTCATGCATGCCATGTTCAAATGCGGCGAACGTGTTTTTTATTGGTAGGACACCCAAACTTTATCAATTAATTGAGTCTAAGTCAGATGCAACCACAAGTGACTTTTGGGGATTCAACCTAATATCGGCCCTCCTTAAATTGCTAGAAGTTTCAACAGTGGGAGTGGTTTAAATGCACTGAGTACGTCTCCACCGTTGATTCTCTAATGGAGACGAACCATCGTAATCCCTATGAGATGAATCATGGTTTTCTTTGTCCCCATTTAACAAAATGCTGGCCTGATTTGGGTCAATGGAATTATGATACCTCAATTAATTCACCTTATAAAAGTGCAGCAGCTCTTTCAAAGTCCATCTCAGACACTTCGATAATTTCTCGACTACCACATCTTGAATCTGGATTTTTTTTTTTCTAAATTTTGAACAAGATGATTTTAGACTTATTAAATTGGACCATAATTAATTCTGTTAAAATAATGAGAAATGATCTTATGGGACCCTCCCCCATCCATACCCATATGTGAAAGATCCCAAAGGATCACTATTAAATTTGACATGGATTTATAGAAAGTCAAGTCTCCACACCCATGTGATATCTTTTTTAGAAATCCGTGCCAACTTTAATGGTGATCATTTGAGGTCTTACATATATGGGTGAGAGAGGGTCTTATACGATCACTACTATAAATAATTACTTATTTAATATTTAATACTATTAACTTATATATATATATATATATATATATATATATCAAAAAAAGTTTATAAAGAGCCGATGCTCTAAACTATCAAATTAGAGCCCACCTAAAAAATTTTACTAGAAGAGGTTGTTTTGATGCTCAAATATCCTCAAATTGATCATCTCGACATCAAGATGCATGGACCGTGAGAAGAAAAAAAAGGATTTCAAGTTTTGAAAATAGTGCAACTTGTAATGTATTTTTGGACCATCAATTTTCTCAAGTTTTCATAGATCTGCTCGATCTACACTATTTTTTAAGCTTTAAATTTTATAATGAAAGATGAAAATATATTTTAAGGCTATCACAAATATTTTCAGTATGGAAACGACAAGTCTCGGCACTACTTGAAGGTGCACCTTTACGTTGATTGTCTAGAGCCTCAGCTCTATATAAACCGCAAGAGTCGATGTGGAGCATATTTTTTAAGTCTAGATCACATTTTCTTTATCTCCTGTAATTGTGTGATTGTCCTCTATATATAGATGTACTTCTTGATGTAAACATTCATCTAAAAATAGTGAAGATGTAGCCCGTTGGGCTTTGGATCCGTGAACGTAAGGCTTCGGCCTGAACCACGTAAATGTCATGTTCTCTCTTCTTCTCTCTCCACTTTCCATTTTATGCTCCCACAAATTCTAACAAAATAGACATTCAATACTTAATTTTGTCGTGGAAACTAACTAGGAGAGGACTTTCACCCTTGTATGATACAAGACTTTTGGAAGGTTCCTAAGCACTTATTGGAAGGTTCCTAGCAGAGTAATTTTAGTACAATTTGAATTTTGCATCCACAAAAACTAAGATTTGATTGTTAGAAGGTTCCTGGCAAAGTAATTTTAGTACAATTTGGAATTGGAATCCACAAAGACTAAGATTTGATTGAGGTGTACATGGTGGAACCATAAGATTACTTGAAAAATTTAGGATCCACTTTACAGTAAGTAAATCACCAGGTCAGTATTTTTCATGAGCATATATGGATTTTCAACCTTTTCAACCCATAAACTATATTGACTAAAAAGAATTTCTAAATTACATCCTCTATGGGCTTGAGACAAATAATGCCCCAAAATTGGATAGAAACCGTCCAATTTTTTGAAGGGTGAGATCTAAGGTTTTGAATATGTAGTCATCTAGGTGTTTTTAGGTGGTCCCCAAAATTTCAGATAAAAAAAAATCATTTCGAAGGTGAGATCTAAGATTTTGAATATAATCATCTAGTATTTTTTTAGGTGATCCCCAAAATTTCAGATAAAAGAATCTTCAAAAGTTAGTCTTTTGCATGGGAACATGATCATCTAGTTTTTACTCGCTCTTTTATATTTTTGGTAAAAGAATGATCATATACTGAGCACGGTCAGATAAACTATAGGGGAGGATTTTTTCCGATTTGAAATTTTGGTGACCACTTTAGAATCACTAGATGATTATTTTTTCAAAAAAAAAAAACTCAAATTGGGACACTATTTTTATAAGTGCTTAGAGAGTGCAATAAAAAATTCTTTTTATTGAAATTAATCTGTGTTAAGAAGGTTATTCCCCAAAATTTGGAGTCCTAATCCTAAATGGGGTTTTTTTTACTAGAGGGAATAAATGGCCAATCTACTCCTCCCAAGGTGTAGATTCTCTTTTGGGATATATCCTTTGGACCCGGAGTAGATTTTCTTTTGGGATATATACTCTAGACCTGATTTGTGGCCAAGCCCACATGCGTATGTGGGCCTCTGAATAAATTTTTAAGGACATGCAATCTCTAACGTGGAGAAAACAGCCTCTTAATAAATTTTAATACTTAATTTTTAAGGACATGCAATCTCTAACATGGAGAAAACAGTTGTAAAAACAGCCTCTTAATAAATTTTAATACTTAATTTTTAAGGACATGCAATCTCTAACATGGAAAAAACAGTTGTACTGTTAGTTTTCATTGTTTTAGATGAAACACCTACTTGCATCCATCATTAAGATAGATGCTTTAAAATAGATGTTTTACACTTTATGGGCCGCATAGGCAAAAAGAAGGTCAAGCTTGCATGAAACAATTTTCTATATCCTTATACCATTTCTTCTAAAAATAAATAAGGTTGCATTCTTATATAAATTTTTCCACTAAATAAATATAGAAAAGGCATAAATAGATAGACGATAATAAAAGATTAGGTCATCCATTAAAAATGGATATGTTTCCGTAATCTTTCCATACAAGATACAAGATGAGATAAACTCAAATTCTATAAATTTCCCTTCTATTTATATATATTGGGATTTTGATTGATGAAAACAGTACATGCTAAATCAGGGAGAGGGGTGGGTGGGGTCAATTAAATTGGGGATATAATTTTACATTAGAGTATAAAATTCATAATTTTTTGGGTTGGATAAAAATTCATAATTCAGCAACAAACAATGAGAGAGAGATATCATACCAGATTTATGGGAACAGGAACATTAGATTTATTCTTTTTTCTTGGGGTAAGTAACATCAGATTTATTCTGAACTAGAAAATATGACAATTCATAATTCAGCAACTTGAAGAGAGAGGGGTGAGGGGAGAGAGAGAGAGAGATCACACCAGATCTGAAAGAAACAGTAAGATCGGAGAGATTGATTATTAGATACTAGTACATCCAGTTTTCTACTGTTTGCTGGAGAAATCCTAGCCGTCAGATGTCAACAATGGAAAGCTTGGGCACCGTCAAAGAGACATCCGAAACGTCATCCGACATCGGACGGCTAGGGAGGTCCACGAGAGCTAGCATTATATAGCTATTGTGTATGCTGTACAGTACACAGACAAGCCATCCACGGTTCCTTCTCAAAACCGACCGTCGAAATCAAATGGCCGGCGCAACAAATCCAAATCCAAATCCAAACCAGAAACTCTCTACACTAAAGTCTATAAAGAATTCGAAATTATTCAGAATTTTCAACTTCCAAACAAACCTTTCCCTTTACAACAACGCCATTAACAAGTGGAATATCTTTTTCAATGGGGGGCAAACGTAAACCCAATCCAATATTAATTTCCCCTTTCTTTCGATCAAAACAATTTAACCACACGCGAAACCTCTCTCTCTCTCTCTCTAACATTCTCTCTCTTCAATCTTTTGTACGCAGTGTAAGGGGCAGTGGCGGCTCCACCGTTCTTCGTTTCCAAAGATTGACTTCCTTTCTGGGAACCACCGCCGCTCCACCGGCCACCACAATGGGACAAGAAAACGCCACCAAAGGCTCCTCCCGTTCTCGCTCTACCTCCCAACCACTTTCTCTCTCTTCATCCGAGTAATACTCTCTCTCTCCTCCTCCACACTCTTTGTCTCCTCCTCCCTCGTCCACCATCGCCGCCCTCCAGTCAAAGTTGGCCAAACCCGGTGCTTCTCTCCTGCTCGAAAATCTCATCATCTGACCCAGATGAGGCGGAAATGGCTCTGAAGCAGGCGGCGCCGCCTCGATCTTTCGACCACCTTTCTTTCGCTGAAAAATCTTGGACAGCTCTATCCCCTTCTTCTTCGGCTCCTTCATCTCTGGTTGATTCTTCTCGGATTGCTTCTTCTCGGATCGCTTCTTCTCGGATCGCTTCTTCTTGTGCTTGATTTGGCCCATGCATGAGACTTTTGGTGAGGTTGGCTCAAAACGGTGGCTATTGTTGGTGTCGATTTTACGACGAGCTTCTGCTGGAATCATGGAGACTATGGGACCTGAAAATCCTTTTCCGGTATTTGATCTGAGCTTTGAGGAGCTATCCAGGCGTTTTTCGTGGCCTGGACTACAGGGGACTTGCTTGGGTAGGAAGGCGAAGAGGCCACCTCTACGCCCTTTGAAGGCTTTCTCCATGCTTCTTTGTCTCTCTCCCCCTCTTTCTCTCTCTTGGTTTTATCTATCTAGCAAGGGATTTTGTGGGATTTCTTTCTTTAATCTTGCGCCGAAGGCTGAGTTGCAGATTGAAGAAGGGCTCTCTCTCTCTCTAACACACAAGAAACTTTATGGGTTTTCGTATCCCACTTGCTCTCTCTCTAAAACCAGGAATTTTCATGGGTTTCAAGGACTTCTCTCTAGATTGGTGCTCCTCTCTAGATTGGTGCTCTTAGATTCAAGTATTTGGTTTCTCTCTCTAGGAATGGGATTAGATTCAAGTATTTGGTTTCTCTTTCTAGGACCTGGTTTTTTATATAGGATCAGTATTGGGACGCTTTCGTTGTTGTTTTCTTTTTCTAGGAGTTATCTTCCCTTTAGTATTTGGTTTCTCTCTCTAGGACCTGGTTCTTATATAGGATCAGTATGGGGACGCCTCCGTTGTTTTCTCTCTCTAGGAGTTATCTTTTAATATTGGGTTTCTCTCTCTAGGACCTGGTTCTTACATAGGATTAGTATTGATATGCTTACGTTGTTATTTTCTCTCTCTAAAGAGTTATCTTTTTTGGATAGTTTAAACGTGAGACAATGTGCTAGGTGAGATTGCCAGGTCAAAGTGCGACCGGCCACCGGCCTTTAATATTGGCCTGTTCAATTGAAAACTTGAGCAATATAATATGATGTAAAATGAGAGAGTGTTGTGTAGTCCAATGACTACGTTTATTTGGTACTCTTCGGATCTTGTGACTTGCGGTTTGTGATTGATTGGAAGAGGGCCGACGAATGTTGACAGGAGTTTAGCTAATTCCAAGTTCCAACCACCACTTGTGCAACGAGATAACCACCACTTAGTGCAACAAGATGAGTTAGTTTGGACTATTGAAAATCTAACCACGATTACTTCTCATTTTATAGTAATCTCCAGTTTTCAAGATGGTGAAATTTGAGGGGTTTTTCTTATTTTCTTTGTTTGAGAATCTTTTGTTAGACAAGTATAGAAAATTTCGTCATCGAGTTTGGTTTTATTTATTTATTTAACTATTTCAGATCAACTACACAAATCCTGATATGCTGTTTTGTTTTATTAAGGGTCATACCTTCTGTAAGATTATAAGTCTCACATCGTTTTTTCTTACTTTCAACTATGTCCTTTTAGGGTTACCCTTATTCTTTTTTAGCCTTCCACCTAAACCAACTTGTACCTCCTAACATATGTTGTCTTTCTAATTATTTCGGCTAGGCTATACGAATCGTGGTATATTATTTAGCTCTATCAAGACTATTTAAACCAACTCACACCTCTTAACATGTGTTGTTTTTCCAACTATTTCGAATCAGCTACACGAATCCTGATATGTCTTTCTGTTCTATCAATGTCATACTTTCAGTGAGACCATAAATTTCATATATTTTTACTACTTCCAACCATGCCTTTTTTGGCCTATCCTTACTTTTTTTTTAGTCCAACTTGTACCTCCTAATATGTATTGTGCTAGGTCGACGCAACACATGACCAGCTCACCTAAGCCTATTTTCTCTATCTGATCACCTATTAAAGCCATACCAACTACAAAATCTATCCCTTGTTATCTTGTCTCTTATCCATCTGAACATCTTCATTTTAATTACACTCATCCTATGGGTATATTGTTTATTGACCGTTGACCGTCCAATATTCTGCCCCATAAAGCAAAATTGATCTACAAATGTACAAATGATTTATCGTTAAAAATAAAATTCATACAAAGTTTTAGTTACATTTGTTAAAAAAGGAAAAAAAAATGAAAGTATACAAAAATACCATTTACTTTTAGTACAAAGAGCTCACAATCACTATTTTCCGTATATCATATCGGGTGGTTGCAAGTAAATGGTCTCACAATATACAATATAAAAATAAATAAAATCATATGAATTTTGACTATTTCTATTTTTCAAATTTTCATGCATGATTGACCAGTTTTCTACTTTCTCCCTTTTTTCGGATAATTTTTGTAATAATAGAGGCATTTTGTTATTTGTTCAAACCTTTTTGGATTTGAGTTTCAAAATGAAGAAATCTAACCCATGAATTTTGAATTTTTTTTTTCTTTCGCTTCTAGGTTTTTAAAAGAAAATTTATCAAAATACAGGTCACTTTTCAACTATTTAACATTTTACCTTTTTTCTATTGTTCCAACTCAATATCATGTCATTTTGATATTAAACTAAAACATATAGGTAAAAATATTAAATAGTTAATATCTTATGTGTATTTTGATACATTTATTCTTTTTTAAATTTGAATGTCTCTGATTTTAAACAATTAAATCATTATGCAAACATTTCTGTCTTTTGCCTTCAATTTCACTGAATTAGAAATCCAGCCAATGCAAATGGCCCCATTCAGCCTATCCTAATCGTATACCATAGTTCTTCCACACTCTTATTTTTACCTTTATTTAGACTTTAGAGTTTAGAGTGCATGAGTTCTGAATCTACATTACCGATTAAGATATATTTTATTCAAATTTTAGAGTATAGAATATAATGATAAAACATGATTCGTGCAGCCGACCTCAACGAGTTAAGATAAATGATTTTGCCTTTTTCTTTTCATTCTTTTTCACTATACAAGAAATGAGGTCCTCATATCTACATTCTTTTTTAACCATGTCTTCTCTCTCATCTCCTTCTTCCATGGGGTTGTTACCATATATAAAAAAAAGGTTCACTTAAAAAGATTGCCGTCTCTCTTGAGAAGCTGAGCCCTAACAGAGGGGATATATTAACGAGTAGATACCGGTGAATCAGGATTCCTCTTGTTTCTTATTTAAAGTTAGGTAATCATCATTCTTGCATTTTAGGTGGTTGTTTCGAGCTTTTATTAAGCTTGTTTTAAATGACCCCAACAAAAAATTACAAGGGTGAGAGAGTTCCGCGAAATGACGAGAGGAATTACTTCACATCTGAGAGTCACAGTATAGGCGATCAGAATGGTGGGTGCGACAACATGACTTTTAAAGTTTCATTACTAATAATGTTGATTTTAGTATATATAAAAAAAAGCATCTCTAGATACATGAAACTTACCATATATGTATTTTGCGTATTATGGTATAACATTGTGGTATAAGCTAATTTGAGCGTTTTAAAACTTGGAATTGGGTTTTTGATGGCCACCCAGATCGACCAGACTGGAGATTTGGATCGGCTAGATAATGATCTGGATAAGTCAAACCTGTGGAAAATTGGTTAGTAAATAATAATAATAACATTAAGGGGATACGGGAGTGTGGGAGGCACCTAGATCATCTGCGTATCGGATCCGATCTGGATCGTTGGTTCCCGATAACTAACGCTGGTTTTAAAATTCAGCCCTGACTATTTACTCCAAAGATTTCTATGATGGACTCTCTTAACAGATCTTATATAGAGAGAGAAAACCAAAACTTAATTAGTGAACGCATGACGATTTGCAACGCTACATCCTAAGCCCAAGTCCTACCTCTCAGCAGACTCACCAAGAGAGAGAGAGAGAGGACTGTTGCTTTAACTTGGTCTTTGCTCCACATGCGTAGAGAGAGAGAGAGAGAGAGAGGCCGGCGGTTTAATTGGGCAGGCGAGTAGCATATGGGCATTGGCACGATCCAAGACTACTTCATTGCTTTCGAGGGTTGGGATTTATTGTTATTGTGGAAAAAGGTGTTCTTGAGGCCAATTATTTATGATTATTCAAGGGAAGGCCACAACGTATGCATTAAAGAAATCGTACCTAACCTCATTTCCGCGTTAAAGGAGGACAGGATACAACGGACTGGGTGGGTGTCCAATTCAGTGAACAAAAAAAATTGTTCAGCAAAATATTACAAGAGTAATTTTGGGGGATCTGAAAATGACAGGCCCATTATTTTGTTTGTGGTGACAAGGCTGTATTATTTCCAAATATGAGCTATAACGTATACCTTGACCTTCTTCCATCTTAAATCCGGCTCTTCTTAGGTTAAATTTTTAATGCGTGAAGTATGCATAAGGTGTCTACCTTCTCTTATTGAAGTCTATTATTGAAGTAACTTATGCCTCAAAACTTACTATGTCGAGAATGGGCTTTCCGTCCCACAAAGTCTTCCAATGATATGAAAATATGGTGTTATCCCCAATTATGAAATTTAAAAGTCTATAAATGATCGAGCATATCTATTAACACTTGAAAATGTCTTGCAATGATATTGAAAATATGTTTGTTATTCCCAATTATGAAATTTAAAGGTCCATAAATGATCGAGCATATCTATTAACACTTGAAAATGGACGGTCGAGATAATGTGTTAGAACAGCCCCCCCTTTTATTTATTTAGTTATTTCTACGAATCTTGAGGTCGAGATGATCGATTTGAGGGTTTTCCAGCATATAAACAACTTTCACCAGGGGGTTTCTTATATGCACCTTACTCTTATAGTATAAGGTTGAGACTTTATATAAACTTTTTTCATTTTTAATATACATTGAAGTAGTGTTGGAAAACATGTTGCTTCAAACTTGGCAGGGTTTTAAAAAACATTGATCTGGATCCTAATCACTTGATCTGCCCCACCTTTTATTCTTTATTAAAAAAATTTAAAAAAATTTATTCTTTATTAGTCAATTCAGTCAATGAGATCGTTGATATGGACCGCTGAGCTTTGATTCTGACCAGTATTTAAGACGGACGATCTATCCAAGTGATCTATGTTTTCCAAACACTGAGACTAGGAGTTCTTGTCCCGAGTGAACTTGTTGGCATGTGGTCTAAGTCTATGTCCGATTGGAGTTGCCCCGATTCCAAATTTTAGTAGGGAAAAGTATACAATAGGATCATTTATTATTGGTACAATACGATCGCAATTACTTTCAATTTTTTAATGTAAAATCAGGGGTAGTTAGGAGTGTGTTATTGATCAGACTTAAAGTCATAATTTTTTTTTTAAACTTTGTAGCTCAACTCATACCGTTAAATTTCACATATGACGGCAAATAATAAGTATAACCTCCTATACCAAAACTAAATATTCATATAACATACATATGTCACTTATTCAAATAGAGGCCAATGCACCATTACAATATTCAATGCTATAGGTAAAAGAGGTGATCCAGCACCAAGGCCCTGTGTGTAAGACAGTAGTTAGTTCTGAATAATGAGGGGACAAAAGGACAAAAAGCTTAAGAGAGAGAGAACCATTTTTTTAGATCCCAGAGACAGATAGAGATCTGGGATATGGATAAGGTATAGACAAGAGCGATGACAAAATTTGTGTCTCATGGCCTAAATCTCTAAGGGAAGCAAAGGGGTATGGAGGTGAAATTATAAATGTGCAGCCACTCTCGAGTATGGAAGAGAAATTATACATGTACAGCCTTGACTGACAAGCCTTTCAATTCCTTTTCAGGTTTTAGAACTGTATAAACCTCAAACAAAAAAAAGTAAGGCTCTCTTTTAAAACTTGTTATGATGCTTTGGAAATCTATTTTCATCGCTGATTATGATTTTAAGCTTAAAAAATAGTGCAAATTGATTAGTTCTATAAGTACTTGGATAATTTTAAAAATAGACGGCCCATATAATGTGTTACAATATGTCCTCTATTTAGGATTTGAATTTTTTTCATATTCACATATCTCGAGATCGAGATAATTAATATTTTTG